GGAGAGTCACTTGATGACCACAAGTTTGTAACGCTATTCTCCGCAATGTGAAATCGCAAAGATTGTCTTTGAGGCTATCAAAGCTTCTGCTGTGAGAGCTTTTGGATCCAATACATGTCCTCGTGAGACAGCATCGCTCATAAGCTCGTGGGTCATTCTTGTGTGGGTATTGGCCGTCATTTTCTGAAGGATGAGGAATAAAACGTTTTATTTAATTACTGATTTCATGGTACAGTAGACTCTTCGAGTCCTAGGTGTTGTGTACCTCCATTTTCCTAAGCAGTTCAGATTTTTGATTGCGTTGACCGTGAAAGTCGTAATTCCTTAGTTGCTTTGGGCTTAGGAAATGCTCCAGCTGGAACTTAAGTTGACAGCAACTTTTATCTCGATGAACGCTAGGGTTAATTGAACGTCTAGATTTACATCTTTGCCTCATCCCCCTCCGAAATAGCGCTGAAGCGTATCGCAGGTGATAAGTTTGAACTAAGCTGAGCTACCGACTGTACGAGAAGCAGCTAAGACATTCGATAATAACTTTATGCACTAGTGTCTCTGGGACCTGAGCAATGCCCTATTACAGGTGTACCAGTCGTTTCGAGCTAGTAGCCCATCGAGTCATTATCGGAGCAGTGATAGGAGCTTGGCTAGGAGCCTTCGTGATTCCGCTCGATTGGGATAGGTGGTGGCAGGTACAGTGCTTTTCGGCTCATTTCACTTAGACTGAATTTTGTTTCCAATGTTAATTACAGTCTTGTTCGCGGCTGATGAAGGGGTGTGCCGGGCAGGACGAATGTACCACAGCCGCCGCCAAACCCGTTTTCTGCTAGTTGTTGAAACGGGTATGCAACAACAGTTGGCAGAAAAAGAGTAATACGAACGCTATGATACAGTCTTGTCACTTGCTTGCTTATAACTGGCTGGGAGCGGGTTAGCACCGGTCAAACTATTCCCTCCCGACACGCCCCTTCGTCCGCAGCGAACTAAACTATTCCGTTTTTAAATGGCCTGCTACTCTGCATTTTCTTTTTTTTCCATTTTACTGAGTTTCTAATTGTGCTCGCCACATTTGTCATTATATCGGCTGTACTTGTACTATCACTCTCTATTACCTTTCATGAGGCAAATGTGGTGTAGTGGCCTCGCACGCGCGCCGCCCGGGAGGCAACCCTGAATCGGCTCCCGCCTGGGCCAACCAAATCTTCTGTTCTGCGCGAACGGTATCAGATTTACCTGGCCGGGGAGAAGGGTGAGACTTCCTGTGGTCGCTTCTCATGTAAATGAAGTCCAACGTTTTCCTCATTGTGTGATGCTCAGGTTTCTCAGCACGTGCTCATACCATTGTAGTTGCTGCTCTCATGCTTTCAGCTGGATCGCCGTTTGTAAGGCCTTGACGTCACCGTTTCGGACTCTGTCTAGTCGTATCAGCCGCAGGTCCATGTCAGCATCCTCATTTCAGCTGAGTGGAGCTGCCTTTGAAGGTTCCTGAATATTGGCGACCATTCGCTGCTGTATAGCATCGGCCTTACCACTGCCCGGTACACCATGCCCTCGAGCGATCTGGAGCACCGCTGGTTGCAGAAGATGCCTGTGGACAGCCTCCATTTTATACAGGCTGCATTTATTCGAACCTTTGCCTCCTGGTCTCAACTGACGTTATTCGCCAGATAGCTTACCAGGTACTGGGAGTCCTCTGCCCTTTCGATGCTTCGCCGTGGTCATTTACGATGGACGGTTCATACTTCGGAACTCATGTCATGTCTGCTGGAGCCATCGTAACTTCGGCAGTGTTAATCTATCTAATTATAGCAGCAGTCATGACTGCAATATGGGCTTCGATCAAAATTGCGAAAAAGATCAAGTCTCTCAAAACAACAGAGAGACCGAAAGGCAACGAATCAATTTCACCAGCAGCACCTACTTGCAGCTTCGAGCTGACTCCACTTCCTAGTGCAACGACGTTAGTATGCCTTATTTCGCCCACAGACGCATGTCAGCAAGGCTTTATGCGTCACTCGGTGGACCTCGTGTGTAACGAAAACAATCGATGCCATCTAGAATATAGCAGGGAGCTTCTATTCAACAGGCTCCAATCGGAACTGTGCATTGAAATTCTACATGCCAACGCAACAGTTGGGTCAGCCAAATTCATCAAAAAAGCAATAGAATTCGAGTGCTCTAAGGTCACAGAATTTTTCACCAGACCTACGAGGCTATCAGTATATCACGCGAAACGCTGCGCTAATGCAGGATCATGCTCGGAGAATAAATGCGACACCCTTCTTCAAAATGAAACGGTACCCGAATTAAGACGCCGCGAAATATCCCGGCTACTCCGGCTGTATGAACAGCTGTGGGGGTATGTTTTGTGGATGCTTTCTGCCCTTCATTCCCTGCCTTCATTCCCTATATCGTTGGTAACTCTAGCAACTTTAATATCACAGTGACATCAATTCAAAGGCCACTTTATTCGCTAGAAAATAAGCGCTTCGCAGTTTCCAAGGATAAATCATATCTCTTGCCGCATAACTTCCAACTTCCGGTAGCATGTAATACACCAACACAAGCACTAGAAGATATTGCTATTCTAACAGAATCCAGTGCAGTTGTGGGAATTCACCTTATAAATAGTTGTCAATGCCCAGACGATTCGTTCCATAAAATTTGTGATAACCCACAAAATATATTGCCTCTGAAAAACTCCTCACGCAACTATCATGGTCCGTGACG